TTATGTAATTGAAGTTTTTATGAAAATAAAACTAATCAAAATTGTTTAATGTCAATGTCCATTTAGTAGCTAATGTAAAGAATTTTATCATGTTTTGTGCATGCTATATCTATATCTACAGAGAGACAAATTAAGAGTAATATAAATTGGTTTTTATTGCAAAGTGCTCCTCAACTGTTGCAAATACAGCACCAATTTATGAGTAGTTTAGGAGCCATGAATTGAATCATGAAGAGAAATTGGAAAATAGATTCTCAGTACTACTAACAAATTATACTTTGTTTTCTAAGAATCTATTGCATATCTGTTAAGAGGAAGGGCTTGTCAGGTTAATTAGTCCTTCTCTTACCCAGGTTCTTCCTAGTTCTCTAGAGAAGTGTCCATCTTTGATGTGGTAAGTCATAAATCTGAGAGTTACTCAGATGCAGTTTCTTCGTGTTTTGAGGACATTGAGTAAGAGATGTGAAGCTGTGTGTCCCTATGCCTGAGTGGTCTTATGTAAGTGGATGTTTAGAATGATGGATGATGCTGTGTCTGGATCCTGATTGATCAGACGTGCATGTGTCCTTTAATAAATGCATTTGTATGTGCATGTGTGTGTGTGTGAGAGAGAGAGAGAGAGACAGAGAAACAGGCAGATCTCTCATGTGTGGGGCATAGGGCGGGATTGTCTGTTATGTGGATTCAGAATGCAGTATCAGTATACATCAGAAGCCTTAAAATATTCCTTTGACTCCATGATTCCATTTTTAAAAGTCTACTCTGAGTAAATAATAAGTGAATACTAGAAAACATGAACAAAGATTTATATACAATCTTGACTGTTACAACTCTATTTTAAATGCTGAAGAAGAGGGCAATGGCTAGACACATTATATTGTCTAGACAATGGTTAGACACAGAAATATTTAATTACAACACAATACCAGCATTAAATATTCCTGAGGACTTAAACACATGGGAAATATTAATTATTAGTGTTAAGTGAGAAAAACGGTATACTACACTACATTATATAAAGTACGATTCCAGTTAAGAAAACTGTATGCATAGAAACAAAAAGGAAAAACATTGATATTCTAATAGTGGTTGTCTCTGGGTTGGAGGACTACAGTTAATTTATGCTTATCTTCTCTTTTCTCATATTTATAATGATTTTCCTAGGTTACTATTATGAGCACATTACTTTTATAATGAAAGGGGAAAAAAACTATTTGAAAAAGAGAACCTTATTGTTATTATTGTTGTAAAGACCAGGTCTTGCTCTGTTGCCCAGAGTGATCTTGAACTCCTGGCCTCAAACGATCCTCTTGCCTCAGCCTCCCAAAGTCCTGGGATCATAGGTGAGAGCCACTGTGCCCGGCTCAAAGAGAGCTTTAAGGCTGACATATTGCCTTCACAAGTGTGGAATGGGAGCCCTGGAAGTCATACCTAATTAATGGTAAAAGGTGAAGGCTAGAATTTTTGTTATAGCTAGAGGAGGATTTGAGATTATTATAAAGCTTTCTTATTTAACTCTAGTATTGAGTAACTTGCTACATTCTTGTAAAGCATCGGTTTTAATTAGGGTGTGTTGCTTACATAGTTGTTTTTGCTAGGCTGTTTTCTGGAGATTCTGTGCAAGATTTGTTTCAGAGCAGTATGTACCATGTGTGAAGTTTCTTTACAAATCTATACATTTTTGTTTCTTAAAGAAGACATCTGGCTACCAGCCTAGCTCTCCTTCTGTTTAATATGTAGAAATAATAGACACATTATTTTAAATACTAAGTACAAAAGCAATACCAAAAGTCTTTAGGTTTCAGAGGCAGGTAAGGAGCCCACAGTAATAAATGGCTCCTTTTATTTAAACCGTGAGGTGCACAGGGAGCTGGACTGAATGTAGCCCCTAGGGGCTGGAGTTTCAACACAAAGGCAAGGGTCAAAAGAGAGGATATAGGGCTTGCACAGAATGAGCAGAAGTGGATTTCCCTAAAGGAACCAGGAGGCAGGAATGTGTTATCTTTTGTGAAAAGGCATCTGAACATCCTGCCCACCAGCACTGAGTTATGACCAAAATATTGCTGTCTGCCCTGAGACATGGATGGAAAAAGTCATTTGAAAATTGGAACCCTGAGTCCTCACTAGTGCAGTGTGGAAATCCCCAGTTGAAGGATAGATTAAAAACCAGATCTGGTCAGGCACAGTGGTTCATGCTTGTAATCCCAGCACATTGGGAGGTCGAGGCAAGTGGATAGCTTGAGCCCAGGAGTTCGAGACCAGCCTGGGCAACATGGCAAAATACTGTCTCTACTAAAAATACAAAAATTAGGCAGGCGTGGTAGTGTGTGCTTGTAGTCCCAGCTACACGAGAGGCTGAGATGAGAGGATTGATTGAATCTAGAAGGTCAAGGCTGAAATGAGCCATGGTCATGTCAGTGTACTCCATCCTGGGTAACAAGGCAAGACCTTGTTTCAGAAATTCTCTAGGAACCATATAGAGGCAACTCAGATACTTTCTGCCTCTCTCATGGCTTCTACAATCTAAATCAGTCAAGTAAAAAGCTTCTGCAGATCAACATTTCCATGGAAGATGAATTTACAGGCAAAACATACAGAGTAAGAAACTCCACATATGTCCAGTAGGAGTCTCAAGAGTGAGATTATCAAGAGAATGGCAAAAGAACTGTTCAAAGGTGAAATAACTGAGAATTTTCAAGAAACGAAAAATCCAAGGTATTTAAAAGGCCTGCGGGTGCGGAATAGGATTTGAAAATCCACACAGCATATCACAATGAGGGTGAGATGGCAGAGAATTAAGGATGAAGAGAAAATCCTGAAAGTCACCGGAGAGAAAAATCAAATTACCAACAAAGAACAACAGAGACTTAGGGGGATTTTTACTGGCAATTATATTATTGAAACATTGGAAATATATATATATATATAATTGCATTTTAGGTTTGGGGATACATGTGAAGAACATGCAGGATTGTTGCACAGGTACATACATGGTAATGTGGTTTGCTGCCTTCCTCCCCATCACCTATATCTAGTATTTCTCCCCATATTATCCTTCCCCAACTCCCCACCCGCCGCTGTCCCTCCCTTAGTTCCCCTCCACAGACCTCAGCAAGTGATGCTCCCCTCCCCGTGTCCATGTGCTCTCATTGTTCAACACTTGCCTATGAGTGAGAACATGCAGTGCTTGATTTTCTGTTCTTGTGTCAGTTTGCTGAGAATGATGGTTTCCAGGTTCATCCATGTCTCTGCAACGGACACGAACTCGTTGTTTTTTATGGCTGCATAGTATTCCACGGTGTATATGTGCCACATTTTCCCTGTCCAGTCTATCACTGATGGACATTTGGGTTGGTTCCAAGTCTTTGCTATTGTAAACAGTGCTGCACTAAACATTCGTGTCCATGTGTCCTTATAAGAGAACGATTTATAATCATTTGGATATATACACAGTAATGGGATTGCTGGGTCAAATGGAATTTCTATTTCTAGGTCCTTGAGGAATTGCCACACTGTCTTCCACAAGAATTAAACTAATTTACACTCCCACCAGCAGTGTAAAAGTGTTCCTATTTCTCCACATCCTCTCCAGCATCTGTTGTCCCCACATTTTTTAATGATCGCTATTCTAACTGGTGTGAGATGATATCTCAATGTAGTTTTGATTTGCATTTCTCTAATGACCAGAGATGATGAGCACTTTTTAATATGTTTGTTGGCCTCATATATGTCTTCTTTTGAAAAGTGTCTGTTTATATCCTTTGCCCACTTTTGAATGGGCTTGATTTTTTCTTGTAAATCTGTTTTAGTTCTTTGTAGATTCTGGATATTAGCCCTTTGTCAGATGGGTAGATTGCAAAAATTTTTTCCCATTCTGTTGGTTGCTGGTTCACTCTAACGATTGTTTCTTTTGCTGTTCAGAAGCTCTGGAGTTTAATTAGATCCCATTTGTTTATTTTGGCTTTTGTTGCCAATGCTTTTGGTATTTTCATCATGAAGTACTTGCGTATGCCTATGTCCTGAATGGTTTTGCCTAGATTTTCTTCTAGGATTTTTATGGTGTTGGGTCTTATGTTTAAGTCTTTAATCCATCTGGAGTTAATTTTAGTGTAAGGTGTCAGGAAGGGGTCCAGTTTCTGCTTTCTGCATGTTGCTAGCCAGTTTTCCCATCACCATTTATTAAACAGGGAATCCTTTCCCCATTGCTTGTTTTTGTCAGGTTTGTCAAAGATCAGATGGTTGTAGGTGTGTGGCATTGCCTCTGAGGCCTCTGTTCTGTTCCTTTGGTTTCTATCTCTGTTTTGGTACCAGTACCATGCTGTTTTGATTACTGTAGCCTTGTAATATAGTTTGAGGTCAGATAGTGTGAAGCCTCCAGCTTTGTTCTTTTTGCTTAGAATTGACTTGGCTATGCAGCCTCTCTTTTGGTTCCATATGAAGTTTAAGGTGTTTTTTTCCAGTTCTGTGAAGAAGGTCATTGGTAGCTTGATGGGTATAGCATCGAATCTGTAAATTACTGTGGGCAGTATGGCCATTTTCATGATATTGATTCTTCCTAATCACGAGCATGGAATGTTTCTCCATCTGTTTGTGTCCTCTCTTATTTCCTTGAGCAGTGGTTTGTAGTTCTCCTTGAAGAGGTCCCTTACGTTCCTTGTAAGTTGTATTCCTAGGTATTTTATTCTCTTTCTAGCAATTGTGAATGGCAGTTCATTCTTGATTTGGCTCTTTTTAAGTCTGTTATTGGTGTATAGGAATGCTTGTGATTTTTGCACATTGATTTTGTATCCTGAGACTTTTCTGAAGTTGCCTATCAGTTTCAGGAGATTTTGGGCTGAGATACAATCATGTTGTCTGTAAATAGAGAAAATTTGACTTCCTCCTTTCCTAATTGAATACCCTTAATTTCTTTTTCTTGCCTGATTGGTCTGCTAGAACTTCCAATACTATATTGAATAGGATATTTTTAAAGTTAGGGAAAATAATGCTGAAACCAACTTTCATACCTAAAGAGATTTAAAACAAAGGGCACAAGGGTTGTAGTCAGACATGACTCAAATTCTGATTTTGTCATTCAGTAGTTATTTAATCTCTTCTTGCCTTTATTTGCTGATTTGTGGAGTGTGGTAAGAACACCATCTTAAGTGTTGTATATGGATTTCATAAGATGATATATTTCAAATGTTAGGTAACTGGACTGGGAACTCTTTCAATGTATTTTTTTTGTTTGAGATGGCGTCTCACTCTGTCACCCAGGCTGGAGTCGTGCAGTGGCACAATCTTGGCTTACTGCAACCTCTGCCTCCCAGGTTCAAGCAATTCTCCTGCCTCAACCTCCTGAATTGCTGGGACTACAGGCATGCACCACCATGCCTGGCTAATTTTTTTTTGTATTTTTAGTAGAGACAGGGTTTTACCATGTTGGTCAGGCTTCGTCTCAAACTTCTGACGTCAGATGATCCAACCTCCTCGGCCTCCTCAAGTGCTGAAATTGCAGGCATGAGCCACCAGGCCCCACCTAAAGGTACTTTTAAAAAGCCTATTTGCGGCCTGGTGCAGTGGCTCATGCCTGTAATCCCAGAACTTTGGGAGATGGAGGCGGGTGGATCATGAGGTCAGGAGTTCGAGACCAGTCTAGCCAACATAGTGAAACCCAGTCAGGGCCAATAATAGCATGCACCTCATAAAACAGATGTTAGAATTAAATGAGTTTCATGTATGTAAAGTGCTTAGAATAGTGTGTGGCACATGGTAAGTGCCATTTAAATACTTGACATTTTCTTGGTAGTTTTATACTGTGTCAACTTAGCTAGGCTGAATGAAGGTGGGTCCCAGAGTTCCCTTCCCTACATGATCCCAGGTTTGTATTGGCCACAAGGGACATATTACCCAGGATTTGGATGGTAGAGTTGGGGCATCAGGTGTGCTTTCCTTTTCTTTCTGAAGATGGGTACAAGGGACCAGGGCTGTGACCGCTTGTACAAGTTGTCTCTGTCCTGTGAGCTCTCTTTGTTTGTGCTGGGCATACCTGCAGCCCCTTCAGCTCCTGCTGGATCTCCAGGTGTGAGGGCAGCTCTATGTTGACCTCCTGCAAGTCACCCACGACATCAGGTAGGACAGAGTTAGAGGCAGATGTGGGTTCCTCCCAATACTGTCTTCTCAGAACGGCTTTTTTTTGTCCTATATAATATTGCACTCTCGCTTTCTGTTTTTTTACCCCACTTAATTTTTCTCCATAGTACTCATTACTTCCAGACATTGGATTTATTATTTTTTTTTTGTATTGAGAGTAGAAACTTTATGTTGCTTGTTCAAGGATATCTGTCTCTGGCCATTATGTTGTTTGGTACATGGTAGTTGCCCAATACATATTCCTTAAATGAATGGGCGAAATGAAATTATAGGTCATGGAGTTGTTCCATGGGTGTTGAGGCAGAGTAAAGGCACTGGAGAGCTCACGTGACATTTCCACGTGAACATGGCAGCCTGATGGATTACCCACCTCCCCTGCTGGTCTTTGAACTATATTGGGGAACCAAGAACTTTGCCAGCCTAGTGCTAACCTAGTTAATGGAAACCCAGGAGAGGTAGATAGAGACCCATAGTGCTATACACAGCAAATAGAGACTTTTCTTTTGTCTTCAGCTTGTATTAGAATTTGACTTCTGAAAAAATATTTATTGCATCAGGTTAATACGTAATCTACTTCATGCTTGGTTCTGAGGTGGGCATAAGGAAACTGTTCATTAAATACATCTTTAATAGCACTGTACTATGGGTAAAGCATTGTACTACGTGCTGGGATGTATAGCAACGTACACAACAGATCAAAACCCTCAATCTCATGGAACTTACACTCTAGAGGGGAGGTCAGATAGTAAGGTAAATACATCAAATTTATTTTGTATGAATGAAGTATGTCAGTGTTAAGTGCTTAGGAGACAAAGAAGGGAGAGAAGGAGAAGTCTTGTTTCATTTTGCTTTTTAACAGTTTTAAATAAGGTCAGGCCAAGGTCATGTTTTATTAAATAATGAAGGAGATGAAGGAGCAAGCCATAGAGATACTTGGAGAAAGAACAGTTCAAGCAGAGAAAACAGCAAATGCACTGACCCTGAGGCAGGAATGGGCTGGGCGTGTTGAAGACCCGATGTAGGTGGTAGCAACTCCCTACCAGTTCTAGTCCTGTGGGGCTTCACTGTCCTTGTCAAGTACCCAGAACTCTGCCTAAGCCTTTGTAACTACTCCCACCAATAAACCCTTCTCAATTACCCTTTTTGAAGGTGCCACCTATTTCCTGCAGGGACCTGATGGATGTGAGTGAGCTCCATCCTGCTTGGGAGTGTCATATAGTTTGTATAAAGAAATGCTGAAGAAGCTCAGAGCAGGAGAAAATCATTGCAAGAGGAAACGTGAATCTTTGTTTTGACCTTGAAGAAAATAGAAATGAACCAAGTTAGTTCTATGATTGGGCCTCTGATTAATGGTAATTCTTCCACCTATGGCTTTAGCCAGAATTTTTTTTTTTTTTTTTGAGACAGAGTCTCTCTTTGTCACTCAGACTGGAGTACAGTGGTGTGATCTCACTGCAGCCTTCGCCTCCTGGGTTCAAGTGATTCTCCTGCCTCAGCCTCCTGAATAGCTGGGATTATAGACATGTGCCATGACTTCCAGTTAATTTTTTTTGTGTATATATGGATATGTGTATGTGTGTGTGTATGTATATATATATATATATATATTTTTTTTTTTTTTTAGTAGAGATGGGGGTTTACCATGTTGGCCAGGCTGTTTTCAAACTCCTAACCTCAGGTGATCTGCCCACTTTGACCTCTCAAAGTGCTGGGATTACAGGTGTGAGCCACTGTGCCAGGCCAGGCTGAAAATTTCTCCAGGTGTTATCATGGATTCTTCCTTCTTTCTCCCTCACCACCACAACATCTAATTAACCACTAAATCAAATTGGAGTGTACAAATTGGACTATATTGCTGCTACCCTTAAAACTATTCCCTAGCTCTCCCTGGTCTACAGGAGAGAGTTCCACACTCCTCGACAGGCATTTCCGGCCTCATCACCCACCATCCTTCCTTTTGTGTGTTACGTCCAAGTGATACGGAGTAGTTCAGAGCGCCCGTATGGTCACGTTTCCAGGTGTTTGTGTAAGTTTCACCAGATAGCAACAGTGCCGCTCCTCTGCTTTTGTTAGTTAACTCCTCCCTATCCCTTCTGACCTAGCTCAAGTGTCACTTCCTTAGGAAGCCCAGCTTTCCACAAGTGTTGGCTGAGCCAATCTTTGCAGGCTGTGAGCTACGTGTTTTATGTATAAAACATACAAAGTCCTTGTCCTCATGGAGCTTATGTCTAGTAGTAGGTGCTAATGTTAAATGTTTGGAAGGACAGACACTAGATATGAAAGCACCCAAACAAATATATAGCAAAAATCGTGGGAGGTGCCTTGAAGGAAAAAACCAGAGAACAACAAAAATAGCTAAAGGGTAGGGATAGGGGATGGGGGTGGGAAAGGGGCATACTGTAAGGAGAAGGCTGACGAGGTGACAAATAGATACCCGAGGAGTGAGAATAGCTAGTCAGGTAAATAGGTGATGCGATGGGGAGTCGCAGAGAGGATTGTGGTGGGAGAGTGTTTTGGACAGAGGGAACTAAGGGACTGAGCACACAGGAAGGGTCTGAGCAGGGAAGAATCACTGGTGCACTGTAGGACCAGAATGCAGGTTAGTGGAGCTGAAATTGTTGGGCTGTGGACAGAGTGATAGGAGGTGGAGCTGCAGAGGACGGAAGGCTAGCTCCTGTGTGACAGCATATGCCATGATACAAAGTTTGGATTTTATTTGAATGCAGAGAAGTCCCTGAGGCTTTCTGAGCAGAGGAATAAGTTGATTTCCTTCATGTTTTAAAAAGACCACTCTGACTACAAATTGGAGAATGTCTTGGAGGGAGGCCAAGGGTAAAAAGAAATGATGGTGCCTCAGTCTGCCTTAGGAGTTCCCCGACATGTTCCTGAAGCACCTGATGCTTATTTAAGCATAGCACTTTTAATCATGGTTGCAATTTTCTCTTTACTTGTCTATTGCTTCCACCAGTCTGAGAGTTCCTTGAGGGTGGGGATTGTTCTTTCTCTCTCTCCTTCCCTCCTTTCCTGATTTCCTTCCTTCCTTTCTTCTTTCTCTCCTCTCTCTCTCTCTCTCTCTTTCTTTCTTTCTTTCTTTCTCACATTCTGCTGCCCAGCCCACAGTGCAGTGGTGTGATCTTGGCTCACTGAAACCTTTGCCTCCCAGGTTTAAGCAATTCTCCTGCCTTAGCCTCCCATGTAGATGGGATTACAGGCTCAGTCTCAGAGCCCCGTTTGAATCCTCCCTCTAAAGCTAGGAGCTGGCAAGCTCTCAACTCTCAAAAGGATGTACACCACACTTGGCTAATTTTTGTATTTTTAGTGGAGTTGGGGTTTCATCATGTTGACCAGGATGGTCTCGAACTCCTGACCTCAAGTGATCCACCCACCTTGGCCTCCCAAAGTGGGGATTGTGTCTTTTATCTTCATTTCATATAATAGGTGTTTAGTAAGTATACTTTTCGTTGTTGTTGAGACAGTCTCGCTCTGTCACCAGGCTGGAGTGCAGCGGGGTAATCTCAGCTCACTGCAACCTCAGACTCCCCGGTTCAAGTTATTCTCTTGCCTAAGTCTCCTGAGTAGCTGGGATTACAGGCATGCACCACCATGCCCAGCTAGTTTTTATATTTTTAGTAAAGATGGGGTTTCATCATGTTGGCCTGAATGGTCTTGATCTCCTGACCTTGTGATCCACCCACCTCGGCATCCCAAAGTGCTGGGATTACAAGTGTGAGCCATCGTGCTGGGCCAAATGTACTTTTTAAAGAATAAAAAACGGGCCTTGAAGTAAATATCAGATCCAACTTTTTTTTCTCTAATTCTCTAGATATCTCATCTGGCAAATAAAAAGTTCGCATTAAGTAGACTATAAAACCTTTGTTTTTGAAACAGAATCTTGTTCTGTCTCCCAGACTAGAGTGTAGTGGTGTGATCTCAGCTTACTGCAATCTCTGCCTCCCAGGTTCAAGTGATTCTCGTGCCTCAGCTTCCTGAGTAGCTGGGATTATAGGTGCTGGCCACCATGCCTGGCTAATTTTTTTTTTTTTTTGTATTTTTAGTAGACATGGGGTTTCACCATGTTGGTCAGGCTGGTCTCAAACTCCTGACCTCAGGTAATCCACCTGCCTTGGCTTCTCAAAGTGCTGAGATTACAGGCGTGAGCCACCATGCCCGGCCTAGACTATAAAATTCTGTAAGCCATGTTTGTTGAAGTAGAAAGAACATTTTAGAGGTCTAAGTAGACCTCTTTCTTGCTGGAGGTGTGTGGACGGTAGACAAAGGGAGAATTGCTTGACTGGAGTTAGTTGGTTCAATTGCAATTTTTATTTATTTATTAAAAAAAAATTGTGGCCGGGCGCAGTGGCTCACGCCTGTAATCCCAGCACTTTGGGAGGCTAAGGCAGGTGGATCACGAGGTCAAGAGATTGAGACCATCCTGGCCAAAATGGTGAAACCCGTCTTTACTTAAAAAATACAAAAATTAACTGGGCGTGGTGGCACGCGCCTGTAGTCCCAGCTAATCGAGAGGCTGAAGCAGGAGAATTGCTTGAACCCGGGAGGTGGAGGCTGCAGTGAGCTGAGATCACGCCACTGCACTCCAGCCTGGCACCTGGCAACAGTGAGACTGTCTCAAAAAAAAAAAATTTGTTTGAGATAGGGTCTCATTCTTTCACCCAGGCTGGAGTATGGAAGTGCGACGTGATCATGGCTCACTGGAGCCTCGACTTTCCTGGATCCTCCCACTTCAGCCTCCCAAGTAGCTGGGACTATAGGTGTGCGCCACCATGCCTGGCTAATTTTTAAATTTTTAATTTGTAAAGTTGGGGTTTTTGCCATGTTTCCCACACTGGTCTTAAGCTTTGGAGACCAAGTGATCCTCCCATCTTGGCCTCCCAAAGTGTTGAGGTTACAGGCATGAACCACCATGCCTGGTCCACAATTTTTCATTAGTGGAGTTTTTTTTTTTTTCCTAAGTCATGAAAAAAAGTTCTATATTTAGAGAGAAGTTAGCTAAACCTGCCACATTCATCAATATAAAAACAAAGCAAATACCTTTTGGGCAGCACCGTTCTTAGAGCCCCATTTGAATCCTACCCCTAAAGCTAGGAGCTGGCAAGCTCTAAACTCTCAAAAGGATATACAATGAGAATTTAGACACCAGGCACCCATTTCTGCACAGTACCACAATAAGATACAAAATACAACACATTGAGTGAATGAATTAAAGATACATATGATAAAATAGATTTGGTGTTTTATAAAATCATTTTGGAGGCAGGAAAACTCATTAGATTGTGAAGATGAATCAGAGTCAGAACAGGTGCCACCGGCAGAGCATCACTCACGGCACAGTAATTCCACCACTGTTGTGGGGCTCTGTGGGGAGGGTGGATTGATGATGATCCCTTCTTTATTGAGATTTTGAGCTCACATCTCATTTACGTTTACGCCTGCCAGATGGCAGAGCCTTTATTTGTCACTGTATTTCTTAGACATTTCTTGATCTCTGCAGCTTGAGTGCATGGATGCTGAAGTGGTACCGTAAGCATGCACAGGAAATGCATCGCTAAACACTGATAGAAAAAAGACAGTGCTGAGGGCGGGAGCTTATTCTGCAGGATAACAGGGATGAAGCTAAGAAAAGTTCAATATCAGAAATGGTATGCTGGCCATTCAGCTTTAAGAATAACTTCCCAAGGGCAGCTGTGAAAATCCCACTACGTGAGGCATGTGAGAACAGATTGAATGATGTACTGGAGATTATCCTGTAGGGGGGTCCAGTGTACTCTGATCCAGGGAGTGAACTAAAATAGCCACAAAAACCACAAAATGGTCTTGTGGTTTTGATTCTGGGAGTCCAGTCAGGTCTTGCTTTATTGAATCCTTTGCTACAGCCACTGTGAATTTCCCCAAGCTGAACTGAAGAATTGTACTTTAGATTATGGGCCTTGGTGGGCCTGCAGGCCGGTGGCCTGGCCAGCTAAGGGGCTAATCAGGTATAGAATCTGTCTTACAGAATTCCACAGGTTTATGGTGCAGTCTGCCCCCTCCTCTTCCCTCCCCCTCCTCCTTTTCTCTCTCCCATCCTCAGGAAGAGAATGAGTCACCTTGGTCTTCCCATTGCAGTGCCTACTCTCTGCTGCTCCCTGCGCTGTGGTTTGGCATTTGAAGGAGAATATGGCATTAAGACCATCAGGCAACACGAGACATGGAAATACTGAGGGCTGCCGACCGTTGCACAAGTGGACAGGCCCCGAGAAGCCTGTTGAGTTGCTATGGAAAGCCCCTCCCTGCTCCTGCTCTGGGATGCCCAGGGATGTACTGGGGGTTCTGGGTCTTCTCTGTTTTATCGCTATTGTTAAGGATTGATGCTGTAGCGGGGAGGGAGGTTTCAATTCCCTAAGGACAGACCAAACCTGTCTTTCAAGTTCACTGGAGACTCCAGAGTGAGCTGTTAAAGGCCTGTGCGCATTCTTCTTTCTTGTCCTAATTAATGGCAATTGGGCTAAAAATATACTTGGGGACAGTCTCTGAAGCTGCAGCTGGGACAAGTTGTTGATGTAGTTACAGAACTGGGTCTGAGACAAGCACAGAGGCCTGGGCAAGTCGAGAGGCTGAGGGGAACTTGTAAGTGAATTCTTGGGGAGTTTTCTCCTCATTACGTCAGTGTATTTCACACTTTCTCAGGTGATTGGGATGTGCTGTAAGTTTCCCACTAGTGGACTCTGGCCATTTATGGTTATCACATTTAAAGTTTCAGCCACTTGAACTGAAAGTCTGTTCTAGAAGGTAAAACGCATGACTTCGCCAAGGCATGAATCTGAATCACAACATTGCTGAGTAGTTGTGCCTGAGTGTCTGTTACCTGGTGACCAGACCAGCTGGTGCCTAGCCTCTACATCTTACGGCAGCCCTTTTCATTCTTTCTTCTTTATTCTGTGTGAGAAGTTAGGAGACATATCCTTGGTGAATGCCATGATCCTTAATTGCCTCATGACTATGAGCCCAGCCCAGCCTTCCTAAACATGCCCCATCATAAAGAAGACCCAAGGAGCAGTCAGAACAGCACACAAACTTGTTCAGCCACATTTACTCCTCTTTTATTATGAGCCAGGCCCTATGCTGGGTGTCATAAGAAACACACAAGTTAGTACAATCTGATTCTTGCCCTCAAAGAAAAGGCAACCAGTAGAAAGCTGGGAGGGAAAAACAAGGATGAAAAAGACCATGCTATAGGCCAATGCCAGGTAACAACCCTGGGGATGATTTTCCGCACTAATAACCAATTCTCTGGATACCAGCTAAGAGTTCAGCAACTCAATTCTGTCCCATGGAGTTAGAACGCACCATCCTTCTGGCACATGGATGCGTTTACCAATCCAGAAGTTCTCTGAACCTTGGAGGTTCCGCTCTACAGGCGTGACTGATCAAATCACCGGTCAATGGTGATTAAGTCAATCTCCAACGCTTTTTCTTTTCCTGAGGTTGGGGAGTAGGGCTGAAAGCTTTAAGGCTTGGTCTTTCTGGCAACCAACCCACATCCCAAAGGTATCCGGGGTGCCCAGCTACCAGTCATCTCATTAGCACATAGAAGACACTCATCACTCTGGAGACTCCAAAGGTTGTAGGAGCTGTATACCAAGAACCAGGAGTAAAGAACAAATACATTATTTTTTTTATTATACTCCAACTATCATAAGGAAGTTACAATGAAAGTGTTACGTGGTTTCAAAGGGAAGAAAGATCGCATCCATTTTTAAAGTCCTCATACTGCAATATCTTCTGATGGTAAAAAACGTGGACTCTGCCAACCCTAGGTTTGACTTGTGGGCAAATCTCATAGTCACTCTTCTGCCTCTTTATTGGTATCCTCAGTCCATGAAATGGAGCAAAGTCAGTTTCCCTGGACAGAGTGTGAAGCACCTCAGAACTCTTACAGGACTGGGGCTCCTTGCCGTAGAGTGTTAATTTATTTGCCTGTCTGTTCAGTCCTCTACAGAGCTTAGCTACAGTGCCATTTTTTGTTATTGTTTCCGGAAACCACAAAAGATGAGGAGATTGCGGCATGAACCCCGAAGTCCCATTGTCTGCCAGCCTGTGAGAGATGAAAAGTGCCACCAGTGTATCCAGAAAGTCATTTCTCAGTAGCCATAGGTGACAAGAGTTACATTTCTTTACCAGGACACCTTGATGTGGCACATCATAAATATTCAGATTCTGTACACTTTTAAAAAAGATATAATATCTCCTTTCTTGTATAACAGTCACTTCAAGGTCAGATTCAGGGTGGCTCAAAACCAGGAAGTAGGAATTCTTATACTTGAGAGAAAGGGGCAGTTGGGGAGTGGGCTGAGGAAGCAGAAACTGAGAAGTGAAGCCAGGCTTGACTTCAGCAATCAATGGGTGAGGTGTGGTGTCCCTTGACCCAGGCTGGTGGGGCCTCTCCTCTGGGCCCGTGCTTTCCAGAGCCTGGCTCTGGCACTCCTCCGGCTGTGCCTTCCCCATGGGATGAGAAGTTCAGGAGACCAGGAGTGTGCCCACCTGGAGCCCATGCCCCCACTACTTCTAGACCAAGCTCGTCCAACCTGTGGGCCGTAGACTGCAGGCTGCATGCGGCCCAGGATGACTTTGAGTGGGGTCCGACACAAATTCATAAACTTTCTAAAAACGTGAGATTTATTTGGTGTTTTTTTTTTTTTTTTTCTCATCAGCTATCATTAGTGTTAGTGTATTTTACATGTAGCTCAAGACAGTTCTTTTTCCCTTCCAATGTGGCCCAGGAAAACTAAAAGATTGGACATCCCTGTCCTAGACCATGCTTCAGTGTCAAGGACATTGGGATTCCCTGCCCAAACACTAAGGGGTGCCCTTTTGAGGGCTAATAGTGCCATCTGTGTGCCTAGAGGGTGGCTGATAGGTGGCTGCTTGGCAGGGACCATAGTTGCAGGGAGACAGAGATGTACACATTCATATGGAAGAGGTCTTTATGGTCTGAGCAGAACTAGAAGAGGCATGAGAGAAAGAGGTGGGTTGTGGGCCAGGGGCCTCTGTTTTTATTATTGCCCCAGGCCTGTAAATGTCAGGGGTAGCCCTGAATGGGAGTCCAGGCTTAGAAATTTTCAAGCAAAAACACCGGATTTGCAAATAGTTCCTAGTAAGGTAGAGCTGGAGTGCCCTTTTGCTAAATTCAGCCCCAATTGCTTTTACTTCTATGTGTCAGTCACTTAATAGTTCACAGCAAGTGATAGCACTTGTCCTCCCAGTTCATAGCTACAGTCCTCGAGATGCTGGGATAACAAAAAAAAAAAAAAAAAAAAAAAAAAAAAAAAAAGAGAGAGAAAGTCTGTCTGGCATAGAATTCCGAGTTCTAGCCTGACTCAGAGAGGCAACCTTTCGCTGAGGCTTTGGAATCAGAGTTCTGTCCTGAGACTTGGGCGAGGGCTCCTCGCACGGTCTTGCACGTCAGGGCTCTACTCTCTGGAACGATTTCTTGAACTTTTCTGTTAAATTTCTTCCCTTTAATGCCGGGGACAGGCAGGAGTTAGCAGAACCAATGAGGTGAGATATCTTGGCCCTGTACCAGGGCCCATGCTGTTGCTGGTGCCCGTTTCTCCCTTTTAGGGCATTCTCCCATTCTTTACCATTGGATCTGGGGTCGACCAGATGGCCCAGAACCTCTGAGCCTCGTGCCAATTATGTTGTCTTGGGACTAGAACTGGGACTCCAGTTCCGGGAGGGCAGCCTGGAGAGCAGATAGTTCCTGCTGGCCGGGTAGCATTTCTTTTGTAGGATCACACAAAATCAGGCTACCAGATGGTGCACATATGCTGATTTGGTGACTCAAATTGTTTATATAGATCGGGGCTTTGCAAAAAACAATTTGCATGGGCCCCACCCAACGTAGGAGCAGCCTTGGTCAAGTGCTTGTACAAATGGCAATTGCTTCCCCAGTGATTCTTTCTAAATCTGGTATCTCCCAAACCATATAACAAGGACTCAGATTCTATAAAGAGCAGGAACCACGAGGCAGAAGGGGAAGTCCTGGGTGTTTAATTCCTCTGCCTTCGACGTAGATGGCACAGTCGGGACTTCCCAACTGAGCGGAGCCTTGCTTTCCGTTTCCACATGCGACAGTGGCCTGTCTGAACCCCACGGGCAGGAAAATGGAGGATGCCTCACCAGTACTGAGGGTAATTGGCAGTGGCTTTAAGGAAGATAAATGTCTAATTTGTGGCAGAGTCTAGGTGAAGGAGAAAAGGGGTGACTTTCATAATTCTGTCAGTAAAACCAAGTACCCAGCACATTCTGTAGGTCCAAAATAACCCCCTCTCCACCCAAATTCTCTGTTGTGTTTGCCCTAAGAAGGGGCTTGTGGAAGACGGAAGACGAGCACACGACTGCAGGGCAGCACACAGCTGCTGCTAATAACATGGAGTGTTGCCGCTCACATTTGCTGGGCATATTACAGCCATTGTCTGGTTTAATACAACGAGGACATTTGAGGTGAGTACTGTTATCATCTCCAGCTCACAGATGGGAATAGAGATCAGAGTGGCGAAATAATTTGCTCAAGATCACGTAGCTGGCTGGGCGCGGTGGCTCATAGCCATAATCCCAGCAATTTGGCAGGCCGAGGCAGGCAGATCACGAGGTCAAGAAATTGAGACCATCCTTGCCAACATAGTGAAACCCCATCTCTACCAAAAATACAAAAATTAGTTGGGCCTGGTGGCACATGCCTGTAGTCCCAGCTACTTGGGAGGCTGAGGCAGCCCAATTGCTTGAACCTGGGAGGTGGAGGTTGTAGTGAGCTGGGATTTCACCACTGCACTTCAGCCTGGGTGACAGAGTGAGACTCCATCTCAAAAAAATATATATATATTACGTACCTAGTAAGTTGTGAAGTCGGGATTTGAACCCATATTTATCTGCTGGAGGTCTGTTTGTGACCTGAGGGCCAAACTTCTTTTGTGGGGTGAGGATAATCTATCCTGCAAGGAAAAATCTGGGGCCTTGCAGACCTCACTGGGGCTCAGGAGAGAGCTCTTGGATGGGCTCTGTTAGCTGATTTTAAAGAGCCTGAAGTACTTTCAGTGACTGATTTCTCTTCCTGCGATCAGCAGCTTCAGAGCATAGCACACTTAGCTCTTAAAAGGTTACAAAAAGCGGGTGTGAGGTATTGACATTAAGAAAAAAAAGATCGTATTGTGGTTCTTTTCACCCAAGCACTTCAAAACTCTTCAAAAACACCTCATGGAATATCCTGCTATCACACTTTACAGAGTAACAACTGAGCACACTCATTCAGAAAATCAATGGCAGAGAAAGTTGATTTGAAGAAATGGAACCGGACTCAAGACCCCTCTCGCAGGTCAGACCCAAATCCCAATCAGCTATCATTATAGTTGGGTCACCCTGGTCCTAGGTGATTTGGAATCTATACTGTGTTGGCACATTAAAAAAATAACTGGTTTATATGTGGCTTTTCTTTCTTTGTTTTTTTTTTGGTAGGGGGTGGGGATGAAGTCTCACTGTACTTCCCAGGCTGCAGTGCAGTGGTGTGATTTTGGCTCACTGCAACCTCTGCCTCCTGGGTTTAAGAGATTCTCCTGCCTCCGCCTCCCGAGTAGCTGGGATTACAGGCGCATGCCACCACACCTGGCTAATTTTTGCATTTTAGTACATAGATGGGATTTCACCATATTGGCCAGGTTGGTTTCGAACTCCTGACCTCAAGTGATCTGCCTGCCTCGGTCTCCCAAAGTGTTGGGATTACAGGTGTGAGCCACGACACCTGGCCTCTATGTAGCTTTTCCAAGGAGGCTTTTTAAATTGGAGATTTATAGAGGCTTAAAAGAACACTTGAAATTTGGCCGGATAGCGCAGGAGCCCGAGAGAGAAGAAAACAAGAGAAGATGGAAATGGAGTCAGCAACGAGGCAAACAACCAGGGCTGGACTTGGGAATTCGGCACCCTTTGACGAGATGCCAGAGAGGCCAAATGCCTGTAACTTCTTTCAGGGGACGCCATGTTCAGTAGCAATCTCTACATTCAGAAAAAAATAGCTCGGCTGGTCCTATGGACCCCCTCTCCCATCACACATGTCTCTCACCTCCATATTCAGAGGCAGGTTGGTATAATTTAAATCTGGGTAACTGTGAACTTTGGGACAAGTTATTGAACAATTCTTGGCTCAGTCTCCTTACTTTCAAAAAAGGATAATAAAATCCAGCTTCTTATATTGTTTTGAGGAAAAATGAGAGGGCCTGCGTGAAACGCTGAGCATAGCAGGTGCTCATTGCAGGTTCCTAGTGAGGGCTGTGTGCTTCCCTCCCTTTCTCCTTTTCACTGTCTCTCCTCCCTGCTTTCTTTCCTTTTAATTTTTGAAAAGTGATTGATCACTGTGATTATTTTTTTACCTGTAGGAATCTTAAATTGCTCTTCTAGGGGGAGTATACAGGAAAAGAATATTTTCCTGGGGCAGGTATGGGAAGGTATGTGAATTCCAAGGCACTGGGTGCAGTTTCCAAGGAAGATAAGGCCCCAGGCAGACCACTGTAGGGAAAGCAGGGGGCCACGGGTGCTTAAAGGGGTGGGTTCTGGGGTTGCCCAAAGTAGAGGGTGAGTGTGTGTATGCATGCGTTCATATGTAGGTGTTGGTGTGCATACCTGTGTATGCGTGCTTACGCGTGTGTGCAGGATCAGAGAGAGAGGGTTGCTTATAGCTAAGACTCACTGCTCACTCCAGAGGTTAAGAAACTAATCAAGAGAGTCTTTCTCAAACTTTTGGTGTTCATTGAAGACTGGAAACTTTTTTCCCTCTCAGAAATCCCTTGCGGGAAAGGAAGATATAAGAGGAAAAGTGTAAAGCTTCTTTGAGAAAGGCCTCTTTCTTCCAGTGTGAAGGAGCTCTCCAGGAGTTCCAGCAAGAACTCAAGGGCTCTCTCTTCTTTCCCCCCCACCGCTTCTCCTTCCTTTCTCCTTTGTCTTTCTTCTCGCTTTCTCCAGCTTCCCCCACGCACCCGCCACATCCCTCCCTCCCTGCCCATCCCTTCTCAGTCTCCTCACTACTCTCCCTCCCTCCTTTTGTTCTTTGCTTTTCATCCAGTTGAGCGACGGTTGGTAGAACACACTTTTATTCTCTTTTATTCATACTCCAGTACAACATCCCTGGGAGCACTGAGAAACATCTGTTTCTAGCTTTCCTTTTTCTGGAAATCATTATTTATTTAATGTTTTTTTTTTTTTTTTCTGTGGTTTAATGAGGCTCCTCTTCTTCTCTGGGATATTCCAACAGATAGAACTTTGGCACCTGCTGCTTGGAGGTGCTGCGATTTCCTTCTCTTTCATCACCAAACAGTGGCCAAGCTCCTTCACATTAGTGAAAGTGGGGAAAAAAGAAAACAGAATGGCAGACACACAAGCAGCCCACCACCCTCGGCCGCTGGGCCCATACCTTGCTGGCACAGGGCAAGTTTGGTTTTAAAATTGAAGAAACATTTGCCCGAGGCATTATTTTTATTCCTCTCATAGCTTTTATAATCAACAAATGTTTTTATTTTCGTGAATATAGGAGGAATTAGAGGCCAAGTGGTTTCCTGTAGTAAGGATGAATAGGGATTATAATTCTAAAATATTTACAGCCTGTCAGTGCCCGTAGCTTTGAATTATTGATGCCATGATAGGTACTGCGGGTGAGACAAAGCCCTTCCAGGGAGTCGTGGCACTAGGAGGCGCTGGATCCCGCCTCACAAACCTTCTCAGGAAGGAGCAGGTGTCATGCTGCCTTCTACATCTCTACTCCTTCCTGGGAGAGGTGCTCATATTGCCAGCTGCTAGAGGGTTCTTCTGTTTCTTTTGTCAGAAGTAGGTTCGGGGCCAAGCTTAGCTATTAACTATCTGTGACACTTCTGGCCAGTAATGTAGCCTCTCTAAAGACCAGTTTTCTCTTCTCTAAAATACAGAGGAAATACTTACACAAAATGTTGTAAGGAATAGCTGAGGTAACATACTTAAGTATGGAGCTCAGTGCTGGTGCCTAGAAACTGTGTCATAAACTGGCTATGCAGCAGATGGAATATATTTGAAGCCTACATCTGGCCCTGGGCTGTGATAATGGACGTTAAGGCAAGTGTTGCTAAGATTACTCTTTCATTTTTCTTAAGAAATGAGAGAACTTTCTTTTGAGGTTCGGCCTGGTGGCTGAAAGGCTCTTCATGGCCTTGAGGGTGGTTGGATAAACTTGTCAGTAGTGGAGAGTGGGCACTCTTGCCCGAATAGTAGGAACATGCATCCACACTTTTCTTTTTTTGAGACCAAGTCTTGCTCCGTCTCCCAGGCTGGAGTGCAGTTGCATGATCTCGGCTCACTGCAATCTCTGCCTCCTGGGTTCAAGCAATTCTCCTGCCTCAGCCTCCTGAGTAGTTGGGATTATAGGCATGCACTTCCATGCCTGGGTAATTTTTATATTTTTAGTACAGATGGGGTTTCACCATGTTGGCCAGGTTGGTCTCAAACTTCTGACCTCAAGTGGTCCACCTGCCTCGGCCTCCCAGAGTCCTGGGGTTACAGGCGTGAGCCACCACACCTGATGAATTCACACTTTTAAATCACACAGTGGAGTGAGCAAACTGTGGTCACTGAGAGCTGTGTAGGCCAGACTTTCCCTCCTGTCTCTTCATCTCTTGTATGAGGTCACTCATCGGTCCTGCTTCTTTTCTCTTTTTTCAAAACGTTGCTTATATTCTCTTTTCACATCATTCTTGCATCTGGCTCAAGGCTTCATCTCATGTCTGAGTTATTGTAAAAAACTCTCCCTACGTTGTACCATATTTAATCTATAAAAAATTAAAAGTAACTTCAATCGCTTTTTATTACAGAAATAAAAAAGAGTCCTTGTAGAAAATTAGGAAAATAAAGTTAAAAGAAAAAAATGCAAATAGTTGCTCCACCTAGAGATGAAAACACCTGTGATTTTTCTATATATGCACAGTTATATTTTAAATAAAGGAATCAGTGTGCATACTGTTTTTCTACTTGCTTTTTTACTAAGAATATGTCTGTTGTGGTATAACAAATTACCCTGAATCTTAGCAATTTAGAGAAACAAACATTTATTATCTCACACAGTCGAAAGGCCAGGAATACCTTGGAGTAGCTTAGCTGGTGCTTCTGACTTAGGGCCTCTCATGGGAGTACAGTCAAGATGTTGCCTGGGTCTGCAACCATCTGAAGCCTTGGCTGGGATGGAAGGATCTTGATATAGTTTGGATATTTGTTCCCTCGAAATCTCATGTTGAAATTTGGTCTCCAGTGTTGGAGGTGGGGCCTGATGGGAGGTGTTTGGGTCATGGGAATGGATCCTCATGAATGGCTTTGTACCTTGCCTGCAGTAATGAGTGAGTATTCTACTCTGTTTGTTCCCTTAAGAACTAATGTTGAAAAGAGCCTGGCACCTCCTTCCCTTCCCTCTTTTCCTTCCTCTATTCCCATGTGATGCCTGCCATCCTTAGCCTTCTGCCATGAGTGGAAGCAGCTCAAGGTCCTCACCAGAAGCAGATGCAGATACATGGTCCTTGTACAGCCTGCAGAACTGTGAGTCAAATAGCCTCTTCTCTTTAGGAATTACCCAGGCTCAGGTATTTTCTTTTCTTTTTTTAAAATTTTACGTTAAGTTCTGGAATACATATGCAGAACATGCAGGTTTGTTACATAGGTATACATGTGCCATGGTGGTTTGCTGCACCCATCAACCATTGTCTAGGTTTTAAGCCCCACATGCATTAGGTATTTGTCTGAATGCTCTCCTCCCCAGGTATTTATAGCTACGCAAATGAACAAAGACAGATCTGTTTTCAAGATGGCTTCCCAACATGGCTTTTGCCTGGATGCCTCAGTTCCTAGCCATGTGAACTTCTTCCAACATGGCAGCTGCTCCCCTCAGGGCAAGTGATCCAGGAGAAAGGAGGAGCAAGACAAACACCACATTGTCTCTTTTTTTTTTTTTCCAGACAGGTTTTGAGATATGATTCACAGGACATGGAATTCACCCATTGAAATCTAGGGTTTTTTTTTTTTTTAAAGCATATTCATAGGGTTGTACAACCATCACTACTATCTATTAATAGTTCCAGAATTTTTTTTGTCACTCCAAAATGCAAAGCAGTCACTCCCCATCCCCTCTTCCCTCCACTCCCTGGCTACTTTCTGTCCTTATAGATTTGCCTCTTTTGGACATGTCATATAAATGGAATCGTATATGTGGTCTTTTGTGTCTGCCTTCTTTCACTTAGCCTGAAGTTTTCAAGGCTCATCCATGTGGTAGCATATATTGACTTTAGTTTTTTTATTGCCGAGCGGCATTCTGTTGTA